AAGTATCTAATAAATGAAAACTATTATTATTGATAAGCCATGTGGCAAAGAGTCAATCCTGGCCTTCCTTCCCAAGACCTTTTTTCTGACTCAATCCAAACCATGGGACTCTGCTTCCCTTGGCTACTGGGAGGACCAGCTGGACTAGACATGGGCACCTGACCCAAGAGTGGGCTCAGCCAGTCAGAATCTTCCTCTGGCGAGTCTGAGCTGATAGGCACAGGAACTGATCCAACATGTTGAGTGTTGAGTTGAAACCAAAGCTGGTGTTGTGACAGGTTAAAGCTGCAAAAGAGCTTTAAATATGTGGGGTTTTTTTGTTTGTTTATTTTTATTTTTATTTATTTCAAGAAGGTGTAAAATCTCATTTGGAGAGAGATACAGGCAGATGCAGGACAGGATTCAAGACTCAAATACATGGGCCCATGAGAGATGGAGGGGTAGCCTAGGTTGAGTTAGTCACTTGGTTGCAATGAACAGAAACCCATTAACACTAGCTGAGGGGTAGCCTAGGTTGAGTTAGTCACTTGGTTGCAATGAACAGAAACCCATTAACACTAGTTAAAAAAAAAAAAAAAAAAGAAAGAGAAATATTTAGGTCTCACAGACATCCAAGAATAGAACATTCAAGAAAAGAAAGCTACAGGCCGGCAGAATTATGTTAGATTTATAAATAAACTGGGGTTGGTGGAAAGTGGAGAATTGATGTCTTCATATTATTGTTTTTATAGTGTTTTATGATTTTCAGTAAAGATTTATGTTGTTTTGCCCCCCATGGAATTTGTCACCCCACTTCCCCTGGGTGACAGAGCCACAAAGGATTACTCAAAGCCCATCTCTTCTGAGCAGTGAGAGACCCCAAAGTGGTTAATCTCCTCTGGGACCCTCAAGCAAGAGGCATCCCTTCCTTGAGAAATTAACCCTGAATTAGGGTTCTCTTCCTGCACTTATTTTCCAGACCAGGAAGAGAACATAGGTGGGATTATAGTTTAACAATATAGGCTGGTAACTTTCAGTGAGACAAGTCAGATGACATTCCATTAGACAATTAAGTGATCTTACAGCAATTTCTCAGTATCTTTACATAACAATCTAACTAGTCTGTCCTTGAGCCAGCATCCTTGCTGTGTTACAAATCTTTATCTCACACCAGAGACTTTATAGCCTGAGGAAAATTTCCAGTCCTCCGCAAAGTCAATATCTGAAACTGCAAGGCTTTGGAAAACCAGTCCCTGTGAAGTACATATGCTTTATGAATATTCCACAGCTTTATACTTTTCTTCATAAAGACCCAGCACATTAATTTATGTTCTATTTCTAGGTACTGAGTAGTTTTTGTTGTCCTTCTAAGTAGAATCTTTTCCTAAAGCATTCTGTAGTTGGTTTTACTGTTATCTCTATATTTAGCTCTGTAACTATTCATCCTACTGAACTACATAATCTCCAATCATTTCTCAGTAGATTCTTTTGCATTTCCAGGTAGACAGTTCTATCATCTGTAAATAACAATCATTTTGTCTCCTTTCCCACTACTTTTAACTCCTTCCTTTTTTCTCATCTTGTCTTCCTATAATCCACCCTGTATTTCAAAGGAGGCTTGGGCATTATTTCAGTCTCAGCAGTAACAGAGAGAGGCCAACTCATGGGGGGTGGGGGGGTCATATGCATAGGTCATTTATTTTGGGTGGATTGACTTTAACTTCATAGGATCATCTTTTTTCATCTTGTGGGCCTCTTACTGTACCTGTGAATGCACAGATTTTATATACCCTGAAGATCAACCTGGATAGATTAGTATAATTGTAAGAGGATATTGAAGAGGGAGATGTATTTAGAGTTACAGCCTATTTAGGACTTGTGTTTAAGGTGAAGATTCATATGAATGTCACATTTAGGAGATTTCACTTGCTTCCAACTCAAATCATGAATGATCCAGGTGGAGTCCCTTGGTCACTCTGTCATGTCCAGTCTTAGTCTGCTTGGGCTGCTGTAATGAAATACCATAGACTGGGTGGCTTAAACAGAAGACACATATTCCTCTCAGGAGGAGTTCAACAAATATGAGTGAAGAAAAATTGAATTACTGGTGCTCCAAATTGCTGGCACCTGTGGCACACCTGCTCGAGTCCCTTCCTTGTCTCTGGGATGACTACTACAGTCCACAGGAGGGG